TCTAATTCACGGAAGATTTTGTTGTAATGTGAGAAAATGTGAAGAAGTTCAAGAGGGGTGAATCCATTGCAAAGTAGTGTAAATTCACATAGTTTTTTTGTTGTTCTTTTATTTACCCGTGTGCTGCTCTCAAGCCTTTTGCTGTTTTTTGCCATTTATTTACATGGATGCCACAATTTCTATAAATACTGTTATTAATTATAAACAAGCTTATTTGAAGTGATGCAGCAAACAATATTCCAGCTTTACTTTTTCTGAAAGAGCAATTAATTTCCTCCAGTATTGCTCTCACTATTTAGATTGCAACTAATGAGCTACTCAGTGCTAATCTCTGTTTTGTCTCCCCTATATGCTCATATAAATACAATTTACCCAGAGTGTTGTACGCTGTGATCCAACCACCACATTAATGACGCTTTCAGGAGGACTGAAAGAGAGGATAAGAGGGGCAGAGTGGAAAGATAAACATGCAGTTTTTCTGATTGACTGAGCGGCAGGAGCTGAACTTATAATAGGATAAGGGGATTTTGCACTTTAAGGCACATCTATTTGGAAAGTAAGTGTGCACATTTAGTTTTGCACCACTTGTGAATTCTTTTTATTTTTGCAGGTTTGCATATTGCATTTATGAATGCCACTGCATAAACAGGTAACGGGTGGAGAGGAGTTGGGGGGCAGCAATGACTCCAACACCTCTGCACCTTCCCCCCCTCCTCCCCTTATTTATTTGTCTGTATTAGTTAGCTCCTTCTCAGCACTTAAAATTAATGTCATCCAGCACAAAATAGAGGCTGAAAGCTAAAATTCAGCACTTTCTCTGCAGCCCGGTTATTTATCAAGCTAACAAGGAGAAGACGCATCCTGTTTCAGCCGGGCCCAGGAAATATGTGCCATTAAAGCCCAGAGCTTGTGTCTGAGAGCCGAGGAATAAAAGTGAGGGTGTCAGGGAGAGCGGATGGACGGCGTTGCCGGCAATATGGATGCGGAGAGAGCAGCAGACACATTTATATAAACGGGACAATGGATGCTCTTGGGCTGAACCGTGAGAGTACATGTGCTCCATGTGTGTATTAGAAGTGCTGATTCGCTGACGGCTATAAAAGACGATCCTTTAGGGGAAACAGAAGACGTAGTTTGGAGCTTTGAATAAATCATGCGCTGCCACTGTGAGGTTAGCGCTAATTTTCTCTTTAGGAGAAGGGTGTCGAAACACGTCCCGAGAACTGTTAGTATTATGCCATGTTAACATCTCTGTGGCATCAGGAGCTAACGCCCGAGCGTTGGAATTCAATTAGACACTGGGTGCAATGCTAAGCAGGTTGCATAGGGCGGTCACCACAGGGAGGAGAAGATAGGAGATGATGGTGACGCTGAGGGAGAAGAAGAGTGTGTGTGTTTTTGTGTGAATGTGTAAAGAGAAAAGAGACTGCAGGCTGAAGAGGAAGGCCCTGGGCTGCTGTGATTCAGGTGAATACAAAACACCACACTAACCTCCGGCTCATCACCAGTTCCTCTCTCAGTCACAACCTGAGGACAACAGAAGCTCGGAGGCTCCCACACAAACTCCACACACACATGCGCACGCTTTCCCTCTCTATGGCAGGAGCTTTGCGGCTAATTATCTTTGAATAAAACAACACTTTTTGGATCTAACAAGGTGAAAGAACTGAGAGGAAAAAAATGGCATTTGCACCATTTCAAAAAAGAGAAGGGTTGGTGTTTAAAGGTTTTGCTCCAGGGCGACGCGTTCTGCTCACGTATCATCAGTTCTGAAAAGAAAAATGTACATATTTTTAAAAACAATTCAACTCCAATCACAACTGTTTAACTTGTAGAACTTAACAAGTGGGGAGATGGACTCTTTTCCCTTCCCTTTTTCTGGATCTCAGTTCTGCTTGCTTCCTCTCTTTTCCAGATGAGCCCGTATAATGAGCACACGTCCTGTTCATATCCTCCTTGTCATCTGGGTTTTACGAATAGAGGGATGACGTCTGTGTCACTACCAAAACCATGCTGGAGTAATGAGTCGCCCAATGCCAGGCAGTAGTGGTTATATATAACCCAGGTGGTAAGGAGAAGTAAAGTATGTCACTCGGTGGAAGGAGTAAATCCTGCCCGCTGCACAATACAAAAGGATTCAGCAGTGTTTCATAAATGACAGTTCAGAGTTGGAGGTTTGTGTGGGCAACACCTTGATATGTGTTGTTTTCCACATAAAAGCAGCTGGTTTGAATGAAATTTCTCTTCAGAAACTGGCAAGACGTTTATTCCAACACTTTGACTTTAACAGAAATGTGTTTATTGTGTGTGTAATTAATTTAAAATTTCCTAAGAAGGCTGAAATTTTACAATGATCTCCGGCTACTATACAGTATGTGGATGAAATGTTTTACATCAACATCAAAGTAGGTGAAAGTGAGACAGTTGCATCCTTGTTATTGGCATGAAGTTCATGCCACTTCTGTGCTTTTGGTAAAGCATTTCAGCTGCTCTTTGTCTGAGACGAAATGATGGCAAACCATATTATTTAAATGCATTTCAAGAACAGTTCTAGATGATTAGATGATTAAGAATGTGCAAACCTCTCCTTATACAGCCATCCAGAGGCGCCTTAGGAATATTTTGTAAGTTGCAGCCAAATGTTGTGGCCACTAATGCTATTGGAGTTGCACCAAAGTCATAATGAAGTTATTGCTATTTCACTGTAGGTGATGTTGATGGATTGTAAAAAGTGAATGAAACAGTTAGTGACAAAGAATGACTTCTTCTGATTGTTCTACTTTACCTCTAGTCAGTGATTGCATGGTTTAAAATTGGACACAACTGATTGTTCCAAAAGGTAAAATAATTTCAAACATACATTAAAACTGTTTTTGGAAATGATGAAACAGGCTAACATGAAACTTCTGGACGAGCCCTGAACTAAAAGCTTTGCTGAAAAGTCAAATCAGTGGAAGGAATCTGATCAATTTAAATGAACACTGTCCTTTCTGATGAAAAACAGTCAAATATTCACTCAGTTTTATGCAAGAACTTTGAAAACAACCTACACAAATGTGCGGTTTCTCTGTAGTGGGCTCTCTCATACTTAATTGATTACTAGATGCTTATATGGATCATTTTTTTGAGGTTTTGTGTAATTTTGTATTTTTTATCAAACTTGCATTTTATTATGTTAGTTCCACTACAAATAACAGTCCAAATGCTTCATTAAAAACCTAAAAATAAATACAACATTCTTTCTGAAATTGAAGGACTGTATCTACAATGTAGGTAATAACATGTAAAAATATATTCTCTTTCCTTTATTTCTTTGATGCACACCATGACATGGGAACGTGTCCTTCCTCTACTGCTACACAAACCTGACCTGCCTGCTGTCAGCCACAGAGGCACCTCCACCCCGTCCCTCCTCACCCAAGTGGTCGACTCACCCTGTCACAGTGAGGAGACGGTGAGTTGCGTGAGGAGAGATGACGGTGGATAAAAGAAAAGAAAAAAGGCACAGAGGGTGGTACCGAAGGAGAGAAGGAGGCCTGCTTGGGCGTGGGCTCTGGAGCTTCCTTCTAATGTGCCCTCTCCACTCCCCTCCCTGTGACCTCAGCGTTCCTGACAGCAAGAAAGTGCTGAAGCATGCAGGTGTCCTAATGCTGCAGGCACACACAAGCGAACGCGAGACCGTGCTGCACACACACCAACACACCCACACACACACAGATGCAGGAATCCTGCATTACTTCCCTGTTTTCTGCCTGATTTTCAATTCTTTCAGCACCTGCCTACATGCTGTCAGCGCTTCCAATGCTTTCAACTGTTCATCTGTATAACAAAAAGGGACTTTTGATGAAGTGTGGTTAAAAAAAACGAATATGCATGTGCTTTGCAAGCAGAACACATGAGGAAAGCAGAGTATGCTGGCGGCTGCACAGTAAAATTAGATGATGCTGATGCTGTAGTTTTCTACTGTCCAGACTTTTAAATGCATGAGCTAAAACCTGAGGTGTCCAGAGAGTGTCCTGTCCTGTGTCTGCGTGTGTGTGTGTGTGTGTGTGTTGGAGAGGGGGTTGGCATTAGAGAGTTGTATTACAGTGGTGATAAGTCGCCTGACTGCAAGTCTGATACCTCAGCAGCACCCAGCATTGACCAGGCCTTTAAATAAAGCCTTCGATCCTCCAGCAGCAGAGAAGGTCACCGCTTGCCTCTGGTTACCCTGCCTGTCTGTCTGCATCCATGGCCAGGAGCCCTCCTGCCATTCATCCCTCACCCCTCCATACCCCTTCATTCTGACGTGGGATTTCAGGTGCCTTTCCTTTTCTCTCAATCTCTCAGCTCCTTAACTTTACTCCGACTTCCTTCCAGCTTTGCTTCCTTTCTCTGCTGCTCTTTGCCGCCTGGCCTCTTCCGTCTACTAAAGTTTTTCTACTGGAAATGTCAGATGGCGAAAAAAAAAAAAAGCAGTCCTTGCTTTCCCTTTCTCACTCCATCAGTCCCACCATCCATCCATCTCTTTGTCAGCTCCAGATAAAAATAATGTCCAGGGCTTTTTGTTCTTTTTCTCCTTTGCACTGAGAGCAGAGAGGAAGAAGGAAGTCATGGGAGGTCAGAGGAGAGGGGAAAGGTTTTGGTCTCATCCCGTGAGTGCTGTGCATGTCAGCCTCTGTCATTCAGGGAGCACTGTTAGAGCCCGAAATATTGCACATAGGAAAAGTTTCAATGAAAGGGAATTTGGATGTCATACAAATTTAATAAATTGATGAAAACTAAAAATAATGATAATACTGCAGCTGGGGTTTAGATCCAAACTGAGCATAAACAGCAGAAACAAAATAAATTGTGTTATGCACCCAAATCTTGTTTGTCAGTGTTTGTTTCATGTAGACCAAGCATTTTCTTGAAAAAGTGTTTCTTTTTCATTTTCTCCCTTTTAAAGTTCCAAATAGGGAAGAATACTTTCTAGAAAAGACACGCTTTTCGTAAAAGACAAAAATGGGATGTGTTACCGCAGTCTCCAGGCTGGTGGGGCCAAGAAAGCACAGCTCTCTATCACAGATGGAGGAATTTTCTTGACGTCCTAAAAAAAGAATGAAATAAGAATTAGTTTAAGTAGGGAAGGACACCTTAGTGAAATCCAGCTTTAAGTGTCCGATTTAACATTAATGTGGGGAAGTTTAATTTAAAAAATGTACGAAACAAATACTGTAGACAGTTTAGTGTCATAGCAATGAGATATAAAAAAAACAAACAAACATATATTTTCAAATTAACTTAAGTTGGTGATACAAAGAGGTATAAAGTTCCACACAGCTGCAAGGTAATAAGCAGATTTCATAAAGATATTTCAAGCAGTTTCTAAATCTATGCATATATTTCAGTGCGGTGGAGTGTTTAGCATGTTGCAATGCAAGTTTCATCAATCTTGGCCTGACCTCCTTTCTACAGGGAGTTTACATGTTCTCCCTGTGTTCTTCCAAATGCCCCTCGGTACTTGTGTGTGTGTGTGTGTGTGTGTGTGGAGGGGGGTGAGGGGGTGTTTGTGTGTGTGTGTGTGTGTGTGTGTGTGTGTGTGTGTGTGGGGGGGTGTGTGTGTGTGGTGTGTGTGTGTGTGTGTGTGTGTGTGTGTGTGTGTGTGTGTGTGTGTGTGTGTGTGTGTGTGCATTGTGACCTGTCCTGTGATGGACCGACAGACTGGCCCTGCACACAGATCTCGGTCTATGTACAACTGCTGGATGTACATAGACGCAAGAAGGATTCTTAAGTTTATTCTTCTCCCCCCTCAGTTTCAAAAATGACATGATGTATTCAAACACACAGGGACTCTCACACACATTTATATTTAGCATAAAATTAATTTATCTTAAAATTCAAAACTTCATATCAAACTACATTTTACAGCGTTTGAAAGATTTGAATCCATACGAGCAACAATCACAGTTTTAATGGATTATTTACAAATAATCTATTTATGACATAGTAGTATGTTTACTAATAATTTTGTTTTTTTTAATTTCTTGCATGAAAGATGATTGTTGATAAGTTCCAGAAATCTCATAATAATTTTTTTTTCTTGCTCTGAGAATTTAAGCAATTAAGTACTGAAGTCTATTAACGCCCCTCTATCCATCTTTAAGCAACAATGAAAACCATTTATTTCTCTGTAATCCGATTCATACTGCCGTCAGATGGACTCTGGAGCTGCAGAGGAATTCCCAGTCTCTGATCTGCAGTACAGGGAAGGGCTATCAAATCCTCCACCTGACTGACTCCCATAACACTAAATTTATTTTGTTAAAAGTTCGTAAATTAAACCCAGATAATTTAACCTATTAACAAATAAAGCCTAAATACAAGTGTGTGCACACATTCCCAGTTTGTGTGCCCGCTTTCCCTAACTCAAACAGCCACACGCTATTTGAGTTAGGGAAAATAGCAGAGCCCCACGTGCAGATGGGTTGGACATGGCAGCCTTGTTTGGGGTCAAGGCCTTTCCCAGGTACAAATGAAAGGGAGAGGCGAGACTCTGGAAGTGGCTGAACAACGCGGTGGGTCACCTTGCCTGAGAAAGAGATCAATGTCTGTTTGACTGGCCAAGGGAGAGGCTGCCTGCAGAGGAAGGGTAAATCACCCCTCGCTTCATTGAAATGCAGGTAAAATACACAAGGGTCGGGCTTGGCTCCAGCTCCACCCTGCATGACATAAACTCGTGCATGCCGACCATGCTTTCTGCATCTCCAGAACTTTCCACAGCCTCTGTGCTCTGAAACTTAAACTACTCTGATTTTATTTACCCAAATCATCACTCTTGCTCTCCAGCTGTGCATTCCAATCACAGTTTCTTGCACAGAGAAATACAAATCTGGCTGCAGAGAACTACAAATCCAGACCCAGACAATTAAATTTCCCTCACAATGCTTTCTGCTCGCAAGGAAAACAAATATCACACAAGCATCTACAGGCAAGAAAAAAGCCATGTTTACAGCTGTAGCATTCTTTGCACATGCACAGTTGCGATAGGATGGGGAAGAGGTAAATTATTGGGGTTTCAAATAAATGACATAACTCAGGACACAACGAGAGGGTGAGGGGAGGGAGCAGCTCTGCCTCTGACAGAGCTGGATGATAGACGGAGCACAGAGGAACATGAATGCAGCTGATTTAAATCACTTTAAATGTAAATGTTTATCGCATGGAGTGATGCAGATGCAGATTGAGTGGAAAAGATTGAAAACGTTTCCTCTTTTGAATGCGAATTTGTTTTTAACCCTTTGGGTTTGGTGGTTATTGTCAGGGGTGGGGGGTTGGAATCAGGGAACAGAAATTTAATAAATATCGCTTTGTGACTCCTATTGCTGCAAAGTGTATTTTCACGTTGACGTGAAATCTTTTTAAATTTAAAGTCAGGAACCTGGAGTTAAATCTGTGGTGAATTTTTTGCCATTAGAAGCAGTATTTTATTTTTTTCAGGTTGAATCTTTTTGATTCTGCTAAAGAAAAAATGAACAGGTACCTGCTTTTGAGTTTAGATGAACATTGTTCAAAGATGGTAGGATGAAGCTAGAAAATTCCTTGGCGTCATGATAAACTGACCCGTTCCTTCAGACTTAATACGCTTAAGCTCAAACACATGGACACCCCTCCACCACAAGGTCACACATAAGACCTTGCTTGCTGGCTAGTGAACCATGGCACGCAAACACTCAACAGACGATCACATCCTTTGTCCTACTAATTCTGAGACATTAAAGCAAAGCACATGATGATGATTCAAATGTCAATAATGATAAATTTCAAAGTGATTTCCCATAGTTGACCTGAAAGAGAAGAGACCAATATTGTGACAGCAGACAACTACATTATCTTTAATAACCTAATCATTGGACAGACTGCAAATGATCACAGCGCAGAAGTCAATATACCGAGTCTGAGAATAGAATTACAGTTCATAATGATAGGATTAATAATGCACCATGTCTGTGCTCTGCATGTGCATGCTTTTCCGTGAACTAGAAGGCGGCGAAAGGAGGATGCGGCGGAGGAAGCTCTGAAATGTTTGCTTCCTGTGCCTCCTGCCCTCTTTCAGCTACAGGAAGCGAAATCAGTGCCATTGAGCTCTCCTGGCCCTTGGTGTGACTAGAGGTGAAAGTGAGTAACAAAAAAAAAAATCCTACAGAATTTCCACTGCAGCTTGCAATGATCAGCAAATCTTCACCTATGCAAACCACTGTACAGCAGCTCTCCTGTCGTCCTCACGAGAAGCTCAAACTAGACATTCGTGAATGACTGAACTGATCCTGTCGCCGTCTCAGAAGGAAAGGTGACATGAAAGACTCACAGTGTCTCCGTGCAGTTCCAGGGGTTATAACACAAATGTAATTAAATAGCTCACTATACTGACCTAATCAGATAGGGGGGACCATAAATTAGTGGACACGCTCACTAAAAGGCCCTCTCCTCTCAGCTAGTGAGCATCTCTGATCGTTTATCATTTGAAAGGAAGCAGGATGGCAGCCAGCATTTCTGTTGTCTCTCACTCCCTTTTTTTAATCCCAGACAAATATTCCTGCAGGTAGGAGAGGATTCTCCATCAGTTTGGGCTTTCATGGGAAGCACTGATGAAGAGGTGAAGCACACAGGGCATGGTCAGGATGGCCTGCAGGGTTAGTTGTCCTGAGATTCCCATGCAAATCAGCCAAAAATCTGTCCTGATATTTGTGTGATTTTTTTTATTGAGGTAATCGGTTCTGCAGGAAGAGATCAGACAGTTTCTCTCCTCGACACAAACATACTGTACACACGCTTATCATAACCACAACGGTTTGAAACAAAATGGGTTGGTTTTGCACAGCACCACTTTCAGAGCCCGTTCAGCCCTGATCTCAACACTGCCGCTCTTTAAGATGGAACAGGACTGAAACCCTCTGCACGAAGCTGAATTCAGAAACCTGCCCGCTGCTGAAAGTCTTCCTCTTTGCGACCGCCACCTGTTTTTTAAATTTTATTCAGCATTTCTACTGGCCAAAATGGCAGGGAAAAAAAAGTTTTGGGAAGACGAGTTAATATAGTGGTTACTACATTGTACTAGTTAGATTGGTGTGCCGGAAATATTAAGTATGAATTTTGCCAAAAAGACTTAGCGTAGTTTTAATTTGAAACGTCTCGGATTTACTTTTTGTAAATGTAAAAAAAAAAAATTATATTCGGTTTACAACAAAATACGTTTTCTTTCATCTACGCAAAAAGCTTTAAAGTCACCAACAGCTTCGCGTGTCTGAAAAGAAGGACTCAATAAAACTGTATTCAACTAGTGGAGCAGGAACAAGAACAAGTTTACTCTAAAATCAATCATTAACTTTGCTTTCGTCTGAAACCCTGGAGCATGGGACAAAATGATTTTAAAGATATATATTTGTTTATTTTTGCGGCTTAATTTGTTTTTATTTTAGAGATTTTTTCTTCTCTGGGACTGAGCAACAGGTTTAGGCCGTCAATTTTATTTGTCATTAGATTTATTGTGAAATGAAAAAAAACAACATACATTTCTACACTGGAACAAAGCCTTTTAGCAACAATTTATTTGGATTATAAAATACATGTAAATGAAAATAAATGACTCCATCATCTGCAGCCTGATGCTGAAGCAGGAGTTTATCCCGGAGCTGTCATTTTACGCACCATGAGTTCAACATTTGCGTTAGTTCTGCGTGGTAATTTACGTGCATATAAACAAATGATTTAAACACTTAGTGACTTCTGAACTTTCTTTTTTTTTAATGTTACGTTTCACTTTCAGTCAGAAACTGATACAAAAATGCGGTGTGTGTGTGTGTGCGTGTGATGCGCCTTTGAGGACACTGAGACATGACAACTGAAGAGAACAAATAAAAAGATGATCAGGAGAATTAATTAGTTTTCCATTCATTGAGGTTTATTGATGGATGATAAATGAGTGGAGTCTGCGGGTTGACTTTAAAACATTTCGGTTTGCTTAATTAAAAACACTCGCAGTGTTCTAGACATTATTCAATATTTTTGATTAATAAAAGGCAAACACAATAATTTTTGTTGCAACAAATTAACTGTTCTTTTTGTCGAATTAAAGTGGCTTTTAATATTTCCCATTTTAGTATTTTATCATAAGTCCCACCTGTTGATTAATCCTTTGTACTTGTTTGTTAATCATGGAAGAATATTCTGTGAGATCACCCCCTGTGTTTTCTGTCGGGCCTTTAGTATAAATCGATACTGAGTACAAAGTTGCTTTATGGTCATATTCCCCATGTGGCTCCGACAGAAGCCAAAGTCTTGGCCGCAAACAACTTAATCATATTAAGTAATGATTCTGAGCAATGCAACAAATACACACAACTCCACAAAACAAAAAGTAAAACATAAAAAAAGGAACAATTAAAATAGCATCCGAACATGACCAGCATGCATGGTTTCACTTTCTCACCACAGTCTCCAAACTTCTGATGTGACAAACTTTGGATATTTTCCACAATACAATTCAAATGAATGACGTGACAATTAGATCATTTATGTTCAAATACATTCCAAATAAACATAAAATGAAGCTACCGAGCCTGGGAGATAATTTTTTTTTAATTTTTCCCCATTAAACAAATCTGGGTAAAAGAAGAGGCGCAGAAAGAGGCGCTGGGCATCTCGCTCCTCTGCGCAAAAATGTCTGTAAGGAAACATTAAGAGGACTTGAATTCTTGAAAATGTGTCGAAACTATTTATTTATAATGTCATTTAAGGATGATTAAATAAAAATCAAATGAAATTCTCGCTTTGATATGTAAATGAAGTTGAAATGACAGGAACATTTTTTTTATTTGCCTTTAACTAAAGCAGATTTAACAAAGAGCTTCGATCAAAATCACACTCAACCGTCTTTTAAGTTTCGCGCAAACTAAAAGTTTTATTTGTGTTTCGGTGTGAAGTTCGCGTATTACAAACTTTTTCAGCGCCGACACTCACATGAAAAACTCCGGAGATGAAGGGTTGTTGTCGCTGCTGGAGCCTCCGTTTTCTCTGAAGCCGGTGCTGATCAGCTTCTCGTATTTCTCCTTGTAGGCGTCCCTCTCCCTGGCCAGCCGGGAGATCTCCTGCTTGAGGTGGTCCACCTGCTGCATGAGCTGCGTCTTCTCCCCCTCCAGGACGTGCCGCTGCTGGACGCGCTTGTACCGACAGGACTGCGCATAGCCTCTGTTCTTTAGTGTCCTCCTCTTCTGTTTCAGACGGATCACCTCTTCCTTGCTGACCCCCCGGAGCTGCCGGTTCAGTTCCCGCACCGACATGGTGACCAGCTGCTCGTCCGAGAAGCGCTCCTCCAGGCGCAGGTGCTGGTGGTTGCCCCCCGCGCCGCCGCCGGACTGGGACCCGGAGGAGGGATGGTGTGCCCCTGTGTGGTGGTGGTGGTGGTGATGGTGGTGGTGGTGGGGAGTCCCGTTCTGGGCCGCGGCAGCGGCGATGACCGCAGACACCACGGCGGCCGCTGATCCCATCTCCTCCCCGGCCATGGCGCCTCCTGCCCCGGCTGCTCCGCCGAACTGCTGCCCTCTGGCATAGCCGTCGAAGGTTTGGAGCTGGTGACTGCTGCTGATCAGCGCCTCTACGGCGTCCTCTGGGCTAAAGCCCAGAGCCTCGGGGTTCAGCTGCTGCTGGTACCCGGTCATCCAGTAGAAATCCTCCAAGTGCGTCTTCTGTTCGCTCCCTGATCCCGGACTGGGCGCCGAGAAGCTTGGAGAGGGGGGGACCGAGCTGCAAGGCGTGCTCATCGGGGTGGAAGATAGGGATCCCCCGGCGACCAGGCGGCTGCACTGGTTGATGCTGCGATCGGGCTCCACCGGCTCCTTTTTCACTTCAAACTTCATCAGATCGAAGTCATTAACATATTCCATGGCCAGGGGACTGGTGGGCAGGTCGGAGTTGCTCATTGCCAGCTCTGATGCCATCCTCTTGCTGTTGACAGTCCTCCAAAGGGGGTGAGGAGCACCTGTCAAAGTAGGCTGCTGAGACACGCACTGAGCCAGCTTGATTTCTTTATTTATTTTCTTCAAAACAGAAGGAAAAGTGAGTTCTCTCGCACTAATTGCGCAGCGCAGGTTCTGGTTTTGTGAGTCGATAAGTTTTTTTCTCTCTCTCTTCAGTCTGTGTTGCACAGACGCATTGGAGCAGCGCTGTTTCCTCCCTCTCTCCCAGCGTGCGGGTGTCTGAGCGCCGCTCTCTCTGTTTCTACCGTTTAACACTTCATGGCTCCTTTTAGGATTAGTGCGCCAATTTGAGGAGGTTCACGTATGTGTCCTGGCCAAATAGTTGCCTAGTAGAGAATGGGAGGAAAAAAAAAACTCCACCCTAGGATTGATAGATTTTTTTTTTCAAAGAGATCACTCAGCCGACGAGTTAAAAACCATTGCTTAGTTTTATAGGCGTCCTGACGTCAGGACTGAAATATGAAATTGACTGAGACCCAGCCAATGAGCACGCCGGTCCATGAACATAATTAGCATAATAGAAGAAAAAGTAACGTTTTTTTTTTTTCTTTTTCACTGTCCGAGTCATCAATGGGATGATTTCATCTTATTTTGTCATTTTGAACTGAAAATGAAATAAAACTAGAACAATTATTAATATCATTATGTATGTTTTAAACATTGGGATGCATTCATCTTGGCTCCTCAAAGTACTTCATATTGCAACAAATGATATTGAACATAACAGAATTAAAATGCATCAGAAATAAAAGTTATTTTTACTAAATCATTATGAGAAGCCAGACTGTATTGACTTGTTTATTTTGCATAGTTTGCATGTAGCAGTTTTACATGCATTTCATTCATTTCATAGCAAACTTGTTAATTAGTAAGTCAATTACAAACCATCTCTAAAACTGAACTTTTGTGTAATTCAAAATATCATCATAAGTTTTAATAGTTTTTTTTCCTCATCTGTCTCTTCAAACGGCAAATAAATTGTTTGCCTAACTAGAAAAAATAAAGACAAACGGCAACAGATAGTGTAATAATGTGAAGTGAATGAAATGCAGCATGGCAAGGTTTTGCTCCGATTCAATTGCGCGATTTGAAAACCCAATGTCGCCACCTTTCGGTAGAAATGATCATTTACCTTGCGAGGTGCTGCAAGCCCACTTCCACACTCCGTGTCTCCCGCGTCAATATAAAAACCCATCTCTCTTACAGAACAGTCTGTTCTGACAACATCTTCACGTCTGTCCTCCTGGACTCCGTCGTCCCAATCCCACATTATGATCACAGACTTAGTGTGTCTCTTTTCTGTATCTGTCGCTACTGGAGCGTTCTCCTCAGGAGTGGTGGCACATAGGAACAAACAATAAGCAGGGCTATACGCACAGGGCCTGAGAGTAAATAAGAGTGCTCTCTCTGGATCATGTCACACAGGGGGAAGCTTCAGAAAACTACAAAGCCGCCAGCAGATAATCCAACTCCCTGGTGTCCCAAACACAAGTAAATATTCTCCTGGTCCCTGTGACTGTTCATGAGGACTTAATGTTAAACAGGAAGGATAAACATAGTGTTTTATTCATTAGAAACACACAAACAGTAGAAGCCCCTCAGATGCCTTTGAATAAATATTAGCCAGACATAATGTCTCATCTGATGCTGCTGCACATTGTTGCTGACTGGCAGCGACTTTAAGGAATTGAATGTGAATCTAAGACGAACAGAGAAATCTATTTTCATGATCTTCATGCTTTTCACATAGTTTGAATAATTGAGCCTTTGAATGCCATTGCTTCAGTGTTTTCTGATTATGAAATTATGACGATTTTGACATTTTATTCTGCAAATACTCTTACAGGAAGCACATAAAAAGAGAAGAAGAAAAGGTGCATTTCCACTCCAGGAAACTTTCAAGGTAGCTATCCATGCATAATTTTACATAGTACAGGCACCAGAGCCAAACCAGATCACTATAGTAAAGCTTTATTGCAGAAAATTGCAGGTATAGGATAGAGATTTGCAGATGGAAAGTGCTGAACATTCTTTACCAGAATATTCTGAGTGTTTCCTGTTTGTGTCTTTGTTCCTCCCAGATGGGATGGTGACCTGTCCAGAATGTGCTCTGCCTCATGTAAATTGACAACTTGAGTCTGGCTGGAGTCTGATAAATACTGCTGCCACTAGTCTGGTGGAGTTTAGTGGAGAAAGTGCTTGGGGGAGACATGCTCTGAAGGGCAGAGGCTCAAATGGACACTACGGCTCCAAGGAGGAGCTTTATAGGAATAGTTTTGTGTGAGGAAGTGTTTAGTTACCCCAAACTAGCTGTCAATGATTTATCAAACATTTATGAAAGAATCAAAGCAACACTCCAGGTGTGTTTATGATGAGGGAATAATGCCATAACATAACATAAAGCTAAAAAAAAAGTTGATTTTACATAACACTTCCCTTGTAAATGTGAACGAAATGATTCGTTCACGTTTAAATTAGCTTCTGCACAATTTATTTAATCTTTCAGAAATGATATGCATGTTTCAATAATTCAAAAACTGTGAGTGATATAAACTTCTTATGATTCTGAAGTTACTTTATTTCTGCTGTTTTGGCAGAAATTTCTGTTGTAATACTGACTGGGTCTTATTTTCTCTTCTCTTCTGCCCTAAACACAAGTAAAAAGTAAGAGCTCTTCTGTAACTATGTTTATATAAACTTTGGACTTATAACATATTCCCATAAAGTTTGGTATTATTTTAGATAAGCCGAAAGTGTAATTATTCTGAAATTGCCTTTGGTTATAGTTGTATTGCTGAAAGCCATTGCTTTTCATTTTTACAGTTCAAGCCTTTGAGCTTGGAGAAGATGTCAGTTAGTTTTACTTAATACAAGTAACGGCCTGGGTAAAATAAGGTTATGGGAGATCAAATTCCTGAGGACATTTTATTGAGCCTCATCATTGTAAAACTCTCCCTAAAGATATATTGGGCCCTAAAATGAGTTTTATTTAAGGACCTTCTAACTACCACTAGGCATGGGAATTCATGTCATATTATTTTTATATCATCCATGTTCAAATCCTTTACAATATGTATCTAAGATAAACATTACTAACGTTTACAGCAAGAAAGTAATATCAGCCACACACACAAAAAGGTGTTATTCTCCTTTACATGATGTTCAGTGTTTAGACTTAACATATCAATCCTACAAATGTATTTTCAGAAAATTGTATTGTACTGTGTATTCTGAAACCTTTCTGTCAGTAGCAAGATGAACTTCTTTAGGAATTTTAGTTGCAGCAACAATGTTGGACTGGATCATGTGTGCCAGCTTTTGCTCTCCATGTTCATCAAAACATTTTTTGGAGGCCTGCCATGATGCTCATCGATGGTTAACCACTGCTTCTTTCTGATAGGTACAGACCACTGAAGACCAGGAAATCTCACCACATACGCAGTTTTTGAGGTGCTTTAGTCTTGCAATCACAGTTTGGCTCTTGTCAAACTAGCCTAAATCTTTACATCTGCTCATTCCGCCTGCTTCAGATCAACTTAGTGTACAAAAACTTTGCTGCCTAATATATCTCACCCAACAACAGGTGTGATGTTCTGACTCCTGCCTCTGTTGATTGTAGAATGAGGAATTGGTGGAGCTTAAAAATAGCAACCCTGTCAATAAAGTTTTCTTTTTTTTTAGAGACAACATTAATTTAAACTGAAAACTTCAAAAATCAAGAATCACAAATCAAGAATCTATATTTCCTGAAAACCACTGAAGTCTCTCTCATGCAAAATACAAAACAAAGCAAAGGTAAAATAAAAATAAAAAATCGTGTAAATCAGACCTGTGAGAGAATTCCTACTTTTGCGGGACCCCTGTTGCTTTGCCCACTTATGAGTTGGGCTGTCCCTGATTAGCATGTTTATATATATGGTATTAGCTCATACAACAGTGGATACCTCCTGCTGGGTGAGTTCTGAGGTTGCCAGATCTCCTAAACCGGGATTTATCTGCTTAGAGTCTCCTGGGTTAACAAGCGTAGTACAGAGCCAATGCATCAACTCCGTTACTGTGGCCTAATAGTCCTGCATACAGCTTGTTCTGTCTCCCATTGGAGTTTCATGCAGGCAGGCTGCCTTTAAGTTTACTGTTGTCTTTATTGAATTGAGCATATATATTTGTGTGTACCCGGGTGCACTGAGCATGATCTTGCTGCAAAAGGAGGTCCACTTAAACAATGTTTGCACAGATGAGAACTAAAAGTATTTGGAGTTATTATGAAGGCATAGTTAAGTACCTTAAGTTACATAAATTCATAGAGAGCTGCACAAGCGCAGGCTGTTTCTCCAAGAAATTAATACAGATAAAAGCCAATTCAAAAGCTTTCTTTAAATCAGAATTCTTCCCACTGGGAGATTACACTGCTTTAAATGGATCCTCTTATGTTTTGTGTTATAAATACCAGGGTAGCTGCATTAAATGCAGTTAGGAGTATATTTAAAGCCCAGCAACAACATGTTTGAAATGAGCTGGTTTGTGACCTTTTGCAGTTTAACCCCAGGAGGACACTGGAAACAAATCACCCGTGCTTTACAACATCCTTTTGATTTACTGGTGCAGTGACTTTACTAATTGTTGCATCTATTAAAAGAATATTATTATCATGAGCATCTTGCAACATGCAATAGATTTATTTTCAGCTTGTTAACCTTTTGTTTGCACCTGAGGTTCTAATGAATTTGCATCCACTTAGACCTGTTGTTTATTCCACTGGAAAATTGTTAATCTCTGTGCGTTTGTTGGGGGGAATTGTTGTATTTTGAACCAAAATCCCATTTTGGATAAGTGAAAACTTGTATGTACAATAAGTGTCATATGGAATATACCTGTGATGTGAAAGAAAGCATAATTATTTTACACGTTTGCAAGATTTTCATTTTAAATCTAGACTCTGAAGCGTGCTAAAAATAGCTAAAAGTATGACCATGTTTAACAGGGAGCAACTTAAATAAAATGACAGGAACCAAAGGATTTCTGTATTACTAAGATTATGCCTCATAATCACCCATTACATTCCCAATGGGAGGTGGGCTTCATTTTCATTTAATGCCATATATTAAACTCTGGTGGCACTCCAAATGGAGAACAACCAGACGAGTGGGCTCAGTGGGCTCATCTGAGACACATTTAATTAGAAAGAGAGAAAATGAAATGTTTCGTGGGGTCTTAACTAACTGTTGTATCTTTGGTAATGGAATGAGGAACCCTGAGAAGCTATTATGAAGAAAGAA